CTCGAAAGGGGAGAGATTGAGGTACTTTCGAGGCCTTGGTTGTCTTCTCCAAGGTGGTCGGCCTTGTCAAGGTCTTCACAAGGGGGCGAGAGCATCCGACATTTTGGGGAAGGCGGGTCGACCTCCACCTGTGTAGCGTTCTATGACGCTATGAGTTCTTTGCTAGTCTATCAAACTATTTACCTTAGATAGAGACAGATTCGTTGGGTCTAAAGTGTGGGAGGCCCAACGCCACCGACTACACCGATAATCCCAAGCCGGACGGCAGGGTCAGCGGGTGGGTTCGGCCGAAGAGAAAACGTGATGGGGAATACTGCATAGTAGACTAGTACTTCCGATCACACAAACCACCAAAAGTATGCGCCAGCGTACGACATCGTACCATGTACTGGTACGAGACCAAATTTAGCTGTAAGGGCAGCCATCACGCCCCCATGGCTCAAGACATTTTGAGCCATCATTCCAGAGCTGAGTTTGTTCTAGCCCGGAGTAAGATCAGAAGTCAGAGGAGCTCGCAAAGGCTACCTCTCGAAGCCGTATATACGTGCCGCCGCGGGGGTTCCGACAGTGGCTGAGAGACCGACATGTGCCTCATCCGCAGAGGCGGGAGCCAAAGAGGTCCATCGCACACAGACCCCGTGGAGGTTGAATATTCGACGAAACAAGCTAAAAACACCCAAGGGGCGAACGTGCCGGCGAGCCAGTATCTAGACTAGAGGTGGACGCAATCAGGAGCCTTAAAATAGAACGGCGAAATAACCAAAAAAGTCGACATCCGATAGGTCAAAGGCGCTTGCGGCAACGCGTCTTCGCAGCTCGCGGAGGGTAAGCCAACTCTGATCAGATGTACGGCTGAACCCTTACCGCACTGGTGCTTGGGAACTCTATAATTTGGTTAATTCTCCAAGAATACCATGTGAGAGGGGGTCTCAGCCAGTTGACTCGGCAGATAGATGCTCTTGCTGTAGGTTGCGACGTCCAAGGGAAAAAATCACTTGGTTCGCAGCGAAGGTAGTACAACAATAGACACGCGGTTTTCTTGAAAACTGTCAACATCCCCTTTCACCACACTACACGCAGGGCGAACGGTTGCAGCAGCTAGCTATACTCTTCTAGCCGCCCGCTCCAAATATATATATATATCTAATAGAGCAATCTCGAGAACTTCGACCGAAGCAAAAGTCACAACGTCCCAGAGAAGAAGCCGGAGACTGCCTAGAAGAGGCCTGAGTCTAAAACAAGCACAATTTCCGAAGTACCACAGGTCAAATTCTTTAACCCTAATTTTCGCCGCAACAGATACTGAGAACCCTGAAGGAGCTTCAGAACGTACTGAGATACCACCCGATCGCCGATCAAACAACAGGATATCCAAGATGCCGTCACAACACACACCCGATTTTCAAGGGCTACCTTGCAGACAAAACAACCGCTTCAAAACCGTAGTCTCTTGCATGCTAAATTTACAAGCACCAACAAATGCAATGGTTTGGACATCAAACAATAAGGGCTGGTCCCAAACATACAACGAAAACGACAAAAACAACAACGGGAAAATGTCAAGCTCTCTGCGAACATTCTCTACTAATAACCCACTCTGCTTGTTACGAATACAGCACAGCCTAAACAACAGGATCTAAGCAAACGCGGTGGCAGTTCAGCGATGGTGTCGCCAAAAGCTGGACACGCGTTGGTCGATATGAGAGAGTGCTTCTCGTATCGAAAAATAATGTTGGCAGTTGCGGGGTGAGACCGGGTCAGTGACCGAACATCTAGACCCCCCCGCTTCACGCTATCTGGGTTCGTTCCCAAAACCTCTTCACGGCGAAAATTGTCGATGAATCGGCTCTCGTTGGTATCTGTACGACAGTGGATACTACGAGCGTGGAGGGCGAGGCCTTCTCCTTGTTGGCTTGATTCGGCTCGAGTCGATGTATTGTTCACCACTCAGGGTGTCACGAAGATGAGCACCTGGTTCGTGGACCGCGAAGAACAGCAGCACCACATGCAGAGAGACAGAAACAGACAACGCGAGAAGAGACGATCGATGTACTCAGAGAAACTTTCGGGGTTAACATCACGGTAGTAATCACTGCGATTGATTATTTCGAGGCGGCACAGTGGAAAGCATTTCGATTGACTCGCTCCTCACGCGCCGAAAGGCCAGCCGGTTTACAACCATGAGTGCAATCGGAGAAACAAGGGGAGCCTCGAGATGTCTCACACCGCAGAGTGTCGTATTTTCCCAACGGCATTGGCTACTCGACGATACAATCCCCGCGCTCGAGAGGAATCACGTCGACAAGACCTCGAGGTAGACAAGATTCAACCACCCTCATCGGTCAAGCGGACACACACCTCGATTAGACTGATCCATTCGTTGGAGAGGAGGGAGACCGACTCGAGCATCACGGTGTTGGCCTCGTTGGCAGTCACGCCCAGCGTGTTGAAGGTGGAATCGGCGTAGGACTCGTGCGTGTGGGTCAGCTCGCCGTTGACGTACACCTGTCGGACGAAGGTTGTATTCATGTGATGAAAGCACTTGCTTGAAGAGCCCATGGGGGCAACGCCGAAGGAAGTCGCTCAGGATGCGAACCGGAAAGCATCGGCACCATATTCCACTACCCCGTAGATTCACAGCCCGCCGTGATTGTGTATTATCACCACTCAAAGGCTAGGCGCGGTCAACATTTCGCGCTTTTCACCACGAGAAACTCAGTCCTCACAGTGGTAGAGCGCTGTGTGGAGGCTGAAGAATAACCACAACGGCTTGTTGATTGGTCGCAACCGGGGCTCCGAAACGTTTCGGTGTCACGCTCACCTCCAGCGTTCGGACTCGCTCGTTGCCCTTCCAGAAGGCAACCTGGATGTCCACGATGTTCTGGGGCTCGGCGAAGGAGAACTCGATCTGGCACGGCCCTTCGTCATCCAGGAGCTTGGCGGCGCACGACCACCTCGACTCGATCTCGGTGCTGATACCGTCCCGGGCGTTGTTCGCCGCACAGCCGTTGCCGCCGGCCTCTCCGCACCCGACCTCGCCGCTGCTTCTGCCGGCGCGCACGTCGTGGGCGGTGGCCGACACGCTTACCTCGGTCTTGGTACCCACCTCCACAGCGTCGTCGACCGTTGGAAGCGGCTCCGTCTGTTCCCAGGGAACGAACTCGTACTCTGTGTCGGGATCGGACGATCTGCCGGTGGAGTCATCACCGTTGCCCATAGCGGTTTCTTCGCCGAAGCACGCCGCGCTCGGGTCTTTGCAGTCGAAGAAGGCGTCCTCGCCGCAGGTGTAGTCGTCGTCCCAGACGCTCTCGCACGTGCACGAACAGCAGTCGCCGCCGTCGTAGCCTGAGGAAGGGCAGACGGTGACAGTGCTGAAAAATATCACGGGTGAGTTTGACCCCGAGCCAGGGAGACCGCAACACGTGACCATGTCTTGTTGCAGCAACGACGAGCGCTATCTCGAGAGGTGCATTCTTCCATCACTGAGTTGGAGGGAGAAAAGGTTTTCTCTTTGCCACGCCATGAATGAGCCATGACATATTCCGGTTGTTCGTGTGACTCACCGCATGCTTCCTTGTTGTTGTTGCTGTCGCACCACCCGTCGCCTATCCCCGAGACGTAGCCGCAGTTGTCGAACATGTCCACTGTGATGTCGTCATCGTTTACGCAGGGCGCGTTGGGGTCGATGCAAGAAAACTGCATGCACTTGTAGTCGTCGTCGTCTCCCTTGTGACAGGCGGAGGAGTACACGCAAGCAGAAATGGTGTGGAAAATGAGGGACCGGCCGCTTTTAGCGCCAACTCTTGGGGACTTACGTGGAGTGGACGTGGGGGTAACAAGTCGAAAAGTTGAAGCATCGGAGGGGCTGTTTAGTTTCAGTACAGCTTCGACCCGACGTCGTCGGTTGAAGCCTTCGAGCCTACACACCCCGCAGGTTCCAAAGGGCAGCCATTTGAGTCGACAACACTAGAAATATAGACTGCAGAAAGGCAGAGGAGATGAGCTTATCGAAAGGGACCCCAAGTGTGTTGCGCCTGGCATATGCAGTTCGCAGCAAATTACCACCGCAACGTGTCCCCAAATGGACGATATTGACGGTACGGGGAAGATCCAGCGGGAGGAGGCAGAGCAGAAAGACCTATCGAGAAGACAAAATAAATTGACCCTTGCCCGTTCGAGCGCCCCAAGTGCTGTAGTGTTTCGGGAGTCACGCTTGTTCACCTTGCACTCAGGTTCAGGGGGAAGGGTCCAGAGGGAACTGTCGAGGAAAAAAATAGGAAAAGATTTTTGCCCTTAGAGGGCCCACGTGCCGTGGTGAGTCACTGTCCTCACCTCGCACGTGCACTCGCAGCAGTCGCCGCCATCGTAGCCTGGCGAATCGGGGCGGGAAGGAAAACGACAACGACGACGTCGACACGAGCGACAAACGAAGGGGCAACACGCGTCAGTGGTTAGGGCCACGCCTGAGATGACGACGTTACGAGCCATCGGACCAATTTCAACGAGGGCAGGTTAGCGGTTCGTCCCGGTTCGTCCTTTAATGTCAGAGCGTCTTTCACGCTAATGTTTCTGGCTTGCAACGATTCTGCAGCTATTATTGCGTGGAGGACGAGAGGGTAATAAACACCGTCCGATTAGCCTGTCGGCTGAGAGACCGTTCCGACGTGTCTCTTTTAGTGGAGGGTGTTATGTTCAGAGGCCGAAGACACCGCTAACAAGGAGAATTTTCGGCGAAACCCCTAGAATCCACTGTACACCATTATATTTTGTCACCACCCTCACGCCCTGGAATCTGGGGCACACGAGTGGGAGCAATAGGAGAGGGATAAACGTCGAGGTACATGTACGTGGTTTCTCCGTCGAGGGCAAGGCGTACGCCATTCTGCATGATGTGTGCGCGTTTGCGATGCGATGGAAAGCCTTGCTAGGACCTCTGGGACAATAGAACCAGAGTATCACGTGGTAATCTCGGATTTGAGACGCATCTAGATTTCGGAACGAAATCGAGAAGAGTCAGATATTCCAGAAAGGATGTTGGAAAATGACCCCACCTAGTTCAGTCCCCCTTTTCTCTCCCGAAATACGCCGGAGCTATAGAGGAGAAGGGATATATTCGAGAGTCGTAACATGCCGCCTCGCAACACGCGGCGCGCCACGGCGGCGGCTTCGGCGGCTGCTTCTCCTACAACGGCTTCCTCAGCGGCGGCGCCTTCTTCCTCAGCGGCTGCTGCCCCGGCGGCGGCTGCCGCGGCCCCAGCGGCTGCCAGCGCGCCGAATCCTACAAGGGCGTCGACTACTGCTGGTGCGTCCTCCCGTTCGGATTTAGCCTCAGCCCGTACGTCTACCATACTCTCAGCGAAGCGAAGGCGGCCTTTCAGCGTTCCAAAGGCGCCCCTTCTCTCGCATACCTCGATGATTCTTGGCGGAGCAACTTTCTGGCCACATATGGTCGGCCGGCGCGGGATCAGTGGTTGGCAGCCGGGGAAGCGACTCACGTCGCCATGCTGACTTCGCTCTTCTGCGGACAGTTCCTGTCACTCAAGAAGTGCGAGCTTCGACCCGTCAAAGCTCTACAATACCTCGGCATCATCTGCGATTCGGAGACGATGACATTCCGGATCCCGCAAGAGAAGCTGGACAAGCTGCATGGCTTACTGCAGACAGCTCTGGCCGATGGGGGAGTGTCCTACCGGACGCTGCAGCGCGTTGCGGGTAAGTGCATGAGCATGACGGTGGCGATTCGGCCGGCGTCGCTTTGGACGCATGCCATGTTTGCCGTCCTTTCCGCGATGGACAAAACCAACCAGCGTCAGATCGATCTGACACGTGATGCTTACGCGGATCTACGGCAAGAATTCCAGAAGTGGCTGTCGCTGACGGCTTCTTCACACGAAGGGCCGTGGCAGCGAGCGAGCCACCTCATCGTCAAAATCGACGGATCATCAGACGCGTCTTCCCTTGGCTGGGGTGGTGCTATTAACATTAAGGGAGCTCAATACCGCGCAGGTGGCGTGTTCCCCGACGATTGGCTACACAAACATATTAACAAGAAAGAGATGTTTGCGTTGTACCACTTGTTGCGCCTATTCTGTGCGCGCTTTCCGGCTTCCTTGCAGCGGGCGCACGTGCTCATCGACGTCGACAACACCGCGGTGTGTGGATCTTTCAACAGGGGGCGAGCGCGCGACCCAGAAACGCACGCACTTCTTGTTCGTTTGTTCGAGCTACAAGTCGAGTATGAGTTTATGCTGTCCCTCAAATGGGTCCCGTCGGCTGCCAATGTCGTCGCTGATGATATCTCTCGCCCTTCGCGTGAGGGCATCATCAGGCTCAACCCGGCGGCCTTTCAGGCTCTCTGGGCAGACATGGGGCCGTTTACTATCGACCTCATGGCCTCCGACGCTTCGGCTCAACGTATCCCGGAGTCGGACGTTGTTCTGCCGTTTTTCTCGCGCTATGATTGCGAGGGTTCATCGGGTGTAGATGTTTTCGCCCAAGACGTGTCGTTGCGCCCAGGTTTTCTGGATCGAGCATTCGGTTATTGTTTCCCGCCGCCGGTGATGGCGGGCCACGTAGTGCAACACCTTGCGGAGTGCCACGCGCATGCGGTTATTGTTGTACCGGGTTTTAGGTCTTACTGGTTCCCTCGAGTGCAGCAGGCGGCAGTACGGTCTTTGCTGATTTCCCCGCCTAATGCGGGGGGATATTTCCAGTGGCCCTGCCCAGATGGGTCCCTGAAAGAGTGGAAGTACCCGAGGTGGTCCATGGTAGCTTACGAGGTTGATTTTGGTTCTTGTTCTTAGGTGGCCGCCGCTCTTCAAAAAAAAAAAAAAAAAAAAAAAAAAAAAATCTCTTTGATTGACACCGGTACCTTGTAATGCAGCATGCGACTCTCGTCCATCTTGCCCAGTTCCCTCCCTTTGGCTTGTGGATGGCTTGTGCTTCGTCTCACAGGTCCCCACCCTGCCTCCGGGCGGCTGTGTCCAGTTTGTCGCGTGTTCGTCGTGCCAGACGGACAAACGTGGGGACATTAACAAAGCTATTGTTGGTCCTGCGGTGTTCAGCCTGCCCGCGGGCGTCCGGTACCGCGTGACCCCCAAGCGGCTCGGGTGTTGATCGATTTCGACGCGCTGCGCGCTCGGGGTGATCAGGTCCTCTCGGCCGCGTCTAACCGTCGTGCTCAACAGCGTAAGTGCGCCGTAGCGGACGGGTTCGACGCTTTCATACTTTCGGCGACTCAACAACGTCGGGGTTGGAAGCAGGCGTCGGACCGAGACGTGTTTGACTATCTCTGCTTCTTGGACACACAAGGTAGTGGTACCAAGTGGGTGCACGACAGGGCATGCCCTGGTGTCGGTACGACTCACGGCCGCGATTGCCTTCCAAACTCGCCATGTGCTAAGCGGTATGCTGCCGCGTCCATGCAGAAAGGGATCGTGTCCAAGCTGAAGATGGCGATGCAAGAACAGTTGGGAAAAGACAGCAGCTGGGACCCTGCCACGCGCTCGGGCAACTCCTGTTGTAGTCCTCTCGTCGACTCCTACCTCGTCTTCACGGGGGAGGAACAAAAACGTGTGGGTGTCGCTGTCAACCAGGCAGAGGCTATGTTACCGCACGTCCTCATCGATCTGTTGAGGGACATGCGCTCTCGCGCGCAGACTGCGTCCTCTTTGGCGGAACGTATTGAGCTCACCAGGGACGTCGCTTTGTTTTCGCTGGCGTTCGCCTCCATGCGGCGAGGCCATGATCTCTCCTTCACTATGGGATCGCAAGTTCTGCGGTTGCCCGCGGGGCAGGGTCTGATTTTCAACTTCCAATTCGGCAAGACCCTCCGCGACTCCGTTGATGCCGTGGTCGTGCGTCCGGACGTCGCTTGCCCGTCTATTTGTGCTGTAAGCAATGTTACGGCCTACATCAGTGCGGCGGAGGGTATTGGCTGGGATTTGTCCCAAGGACATCTGTTTCCTATCGTTCTGCTGGATGGAACTCGGGGCTGTGCTCCGCTTACGGCGGTTCAGATGACGGCTGCCCTACAAGGGCATCTGCGAGCGGCGGGACTGCCGCACCGCTACACTATGCATTCGTTCCGCGTTGGAGGTTCGGTAGCGCAGTCGCTTGACGGAACGGCGATGGACGCTATCATGAAAATTGCCGGGTGGCGTACGGAGAGTGTAGCGAAGCGATATGTTGGCGCCACTACTAGTGTGGGGGCAACGGGTTCCAAGAGGATCCGGAGCGAGCTGTACGCAGACTCAAACGTGTTGCCGTTGTCGGCTGACTTCACATGCGATTTCTCTGCGTGTGCTCGCCGCGAAAAATAAGAAAGTTTGGGTGGGCGAGACCTAGCTTAGAGGCGTGAGTGGTCAATAAATAAGATGTGACAGATCGGAAAATTAACAAGAAAGTAATGGGCGGGACCACAGACCGGCGCAGGAGGCCTCACCCAACCAAATCCAATACTTACATTGAATGATCTGGGTAAGGGATAAGAATACAACAGTAATCTCGGATTTGAGACGCATCTAGATTTCGGAACGAAATCGAGAAGAGTCAGATATTCCAGAAAGGATGTTGGAAAATGATCCCACCTAGTTCAGTCCCCCTTTTCTCTCCCGAAATACGCCGGAGCAGAGAAGAAGGGGTATATTTGAGACCATCCCACCCGCCCTACACAATGCTTACTATATTCATGAACTTGCTGATCATTCAAACACTTTGGGCCTGGGTACACCCAGCCCAAAGGGTTACTTGTGGCGAGGCCCTCCTGACAGGCGCAGGAGGCCTCACCCAACCAAATCCAATACTTACATTGAATGATCTGGGTAAGGGATAAGAATACAACAGTATTTTGGACAGGAAAGGGAAACCTACCGCACTCCTCGGTGTTGTTGTTTTCATCGCAGTATCCGTTTCCTATGCCCAACACGTAGCCGCAGTTCTCGAACATGTCGACGGTGATGTCGTCGTCGTTAACGCAGGCTGCGTCCGGATCGATGCAGGCGAAGCTGTAGCAAGCGTAGTCATCGTCAAGCGGGCTCTGGTACGTACGGGAGGCGAATACGGCGGGAGGTATCCATATTCAGAGCGTGAGGAGGGAGGAGCAGCGAGGTAGGGGGCGGGGGAGACACACACCTACCCAGAAAATGCCTCCGATCCCAACAAGCTCGGTTCGGCTGCAAGCAACTATCTTCGTTCAGCACCCACTCTGCAGACCCGGTGTTGACTCAGACTCAAGGGTGGATGTGATACCGCATCAGCCCTTGGGGGGGGAAGGGAAACATGGCTGCTTCGATGGAGGGGGGCACTCTCCGAGAGTTCGGTCGGAACTTTTCGGGCGAAGAAAACGGGAGCAGCGAAATCAAGCCGCGTCTACGAACGAGGGCTCCTCACTACTACGGAACAGAGAATCTACCGCTCGTGGGTGGTCCGCACCTGACAGGTGCAAGAGCAGCAGTCCCCGCCGTCGTAGGCTGCGGCAATTCGAGGAAAGGAACGTGGACGGGCAGAGAGAGAGAGAGGGGCAACAGGGGAGGGGTTAGTTGTTTTCGTGTGGGATAGAGTCATCAAACACTACGCGGCGTTTCCGGCGGCCTGGGCAGCATGCCGCGACGACCGGCAGAAAAGTGCGTGTGAGCGCGGCAACGGTGAAGGATTCCCCGCCAAAAACGACACCGTAATACCGTAAGAGGCGGAGAGATGGCACCCCCCCCCTAGACCAATATCCAAAGCTCGATTGCTCCACAAACAAGCTAGTGCCAACACCAACAATATTGGTTTCGGAAACATCTCCTCGAGGGCTTTCCGTAGACATATTGGGCTCTTTTCTCACCCTCTTGGTTGTGGAGCAATAGAGCGTTGAAAGTCGGTCTAGGCGGGGGGTGTCATCTCTCCGCCTCGTACGGTACATAAACAGTTGCACCCTTGTTCTTGTGGTCTTGCCCCAAGAGCTCTCAAGACTGAGCACGTAAAGAGTAAAGCTTCGGCCTTTGTGCTGAAGGTCGGCATCGAAAAAGAGTTGAGTACCACTGCATAAGAAGCAGCTGATTCCGGGTCTCCGGAGATGTCTACCGTCGGCTGCAGCACCATCTCGAAGGCATCCCTGCCCTGCTCCACCTTTCCAAGAAGAGTCGCATGTACTCACTTTACAGCACGGGAAAACGAAAATTCTCGGGCCAAGAAGACCGAAGTGCAATGGTGGTCGCGATATACCGCAGTGAAGTGACAAGCAAATATCACCGCGGAATTATCGTGACACCGCACTATTGGGTGTTGGGGAATATATAGCTTACAGTATGGTAGCCAAGTCCCGTGACAAGCGATGTTTACCGCGGTGTATCGGACCCGCACGACTCGGGACCGCGGTACGGTGTATCGGGCCTACGACTGTAGAACGTATGTGTACCGCATTCTGGCGTGTTGTTCTCTTCGCTGCAGTAACCGTCGCCGATGCCTGGCGCCCAGTCGCAGTTCTCGAGCATGTCCACCGTAACGCTGTCGTCGTCCACACAGGGAGCGCTCGGGTCGATGCAGGCGAAGTTCGAGCGGCAAGCGTAATCGTCGTCCTCTAGGCTCTGGTAGGTCAGCGCGCGCACGGGAAACAAACACGAAAAAATCAAACGCTGCACTAGCTCAGCAAGGGGTTCCCTCTCTCTCTCCCCCTCATAAAAAAAAAATCCTTTGCGGCAGTAGCTCAGCAAGGGGGGAGGGGAGGGAGAGGGGAGGGAGACAACTAACCTAGCAAAGCCACGCTACAGCAGAACAAACCCTTGCATGCGGAACGTGCCGTGAACTGCGCCTCGTGCACGCCCGAAATCGTAGAAACAAGCGGTAGAGACGTGTGGCTTCGAAGGCGGGCAAAAACTGTCGACAATAAATACAGCTAGGATGGAGAGGGAAAACAACTAGGGTCCGCGTACCTCGCAGGTGCACTCGCAGCAGTCGCCGCCATCGTACGCTGAAATAAAAAAGGGCGGGGAAACGGCGAGAGGGGAATGTAGGGGGTAAGGGGGGTGAACAGAAAGTGGCGGATGAGCCGGATCCCTCGGGAAATATGTTGAATCAGGCTGAGCTCGACAGGAAAACAACCAACATAATCGGGAGAGAGGACAGGTAATGTATTTGGCGACATCCATTCAACGATAAGCCGTTCGCACACTGCCTCCGGCGCAACCTGATAGAATAACAGTTGGCTTGAACAAAGAGAGAAGCATAGTTAGATCTGCGAGAGAAGTTTGGTGTTTCTTCAGCAGTAGCGCTAGGCTTCGTCTTGGGGTCACTGGAGCAGGAAACAGACATAGGGTGGGAAGTTAGCAAGGCGAACGCATTTTGGAACTCCCAGTGCTAGATCTCTTGTATCAGGGGACAGGTCCACCGCACTTGCAACGGGGCTTGAAAGAAACGCGATTTGCTGCATCAACGACGGAAATGATTGCCGGCTCATCGTTCGATGGATGTCGAGAGACATGCTGAGAGACGGGGACGGTTTGTTGCGTCTTCATCAAGCAAAGAGGGGCCACCGGACGCCCGTTCGGGGGTCATCGGCAAAGAAAGAACAGCGTTTGCTTCATCACTACCGCAGAAGAGTGTCGCTGCCAATTCGTTCTGCTGGCTACTGATGCTCCTGCTCCAACGGGTGGTGGGTGAAGAAGCTAGAACTGCAAGACTTACCGCACTCCTCGATGTTGTTGTCTTCGTCGCACCAGCCGTTGCCAAAGCTACCCGGGTACTTGCAGCTCTCGACCATGTCCACGGTGAAGGAGTCTTCATCGACGCAGGGTGCTTCAGGGTCGATGCAGGCGAACCCACTCCACCTGCCGCACTCCTGGTTCGGCTGGTCCTGAAAGGCACGTGATTTCGCGGCACACCCAACACGCCCCGGAGCGAGTTGTAAGAGATAGAGCAAACATAGCGGGCGGCAAGAAGCGTGGAGTGATCGTCACATTGATCTCATAGCCCATTGCACCCCTGCGCGCTACACTGGGACGGATTGAGGACAGGGACAAAACTTATAGCATTTTCAAGAGACTTTAGCAAGGGACCGTACCGAGCAAGATAGCCCACGGGCAATTACACCAATGCTATAACCCATACGAGGTCCATGCTCTTTCAGAGTTTCGCTTAGAATGTGTAAAAGCGGGCAACAATCAACGCGCTTACCTCGCACGTGCACTCGCAGCAGTCGCCACCGTCATAAGCTGGGGAAGTTCAGGGGGGGAGCACGTGCAAAACATGCGGCGGTGGAGAAAAGTGAAAGTACGCAGCACAGAAGAGCACAACCTCTCTGTTATTTCGACAGCAAGAAGAGTGTTCGACGCACAGCCTGCATGCCGACGGTTGAGTTCGGACTGCGCCATTTTATCCCTACCTTGCGCACCGTTCTTTTTGCTCCTTCTCGGCAAAAAATCAACAAACGGAGCACAACCGTAAGCGTCGGTATGGCCGAGGCCACGAGAGGAGATCAAGGTCGCAGTACATATGCAACCCGTCGACTTGCTCCCCTTCCACCACATACTCCTCCCCCGCGCCAATGAGCTTGGTTCCGTGCGGGTAGCAAGGGCTAACAACGTCGCCAAGTTGCGGTACTCCTGTCTACCAGCGATGACGAAGACGCCACGTACCGCAAGCTTCGTTGTTGTTGTCCATGTCACAGAAGCCGTTGCCCACAGCGACGCTGTCGCAGTTCTCGACAATGTCGAGGGTGATGTCGTCGTCGTTGACACAGGGAGCGTTGGGGTCGATGCAGGCGAAGCCGTTGCCGCAGCCGTTCTGGAAGTAGTCGTCAGTCCCGTCGTCTGTGTCCAGAGGCTAGGGGGGGGGGGGGGAGGGGGGTTCGAGAGAACACACGGGGGTGTGACGGTTTATCATAGAGTGGTTTTTCACAACCAGGAGGGTACCACTGCCGAACAGGTGGTGTTGGGAGCATCTCGTCGAGGGCTTTCCTGAGAGGTATCGGTTGGTGTTCGCACCCTCCTGGCTGTGGAGCAACCAAGCTCTGCAAAACGCTGACACCTCCATCCGTTCTCTCGCATCCTTACGGTACTCATGTTTCGCGTGACTAAGCGGTTAGGTTGTTGACCACCCGTCTTCTAGCATTGCCCCCGCAGTACCGATCACCGATGGCCAATCGTCCCTTCCTCCTTTTCCAAAGGTTGCTCCAAAAATACTCCCCCTAGCCTATCCATCCTACGAATATCACTTCCCGCCTGGGGGGGGGCGACGAATCGACGACAAGCGTTACATTCGTGGGCGAAACAATATCACCACGAAACGGATGAATAGGTCATCATCTGGGAGGGATCCAGCAGCGGCTAGGGCAATGTGTGGTGTGAAGACGGGCGTCAAGACAACGGCTGCGACCATCCCAGGGCAGAAAGTGAGAGAATCAAGAGAAGGGAGAAGACCCACACCTCAGCAAAGTGACAAGACCACGGGGACCGAGAACAGAGAAGGAAGACACGTACCCAAGAAAACACGCCACTCCAGCCGCTTTGGGAAAACACGCCACCAGAGCCGCTTGGGGAAACGTACCCAAGAAAACACGCCACCCGAGCCGCTTTGGGACAACACGCCACCAGAGCCGCTTTGGGAAACTACGGATTCGAATCGCCCTTCGTTCGCATGCGCACCTCACAAGCAAAAATCGTTGGCAGCAACGGCAAGTAACCCCTTGTGGCGAACTCAGAGAGCCTATTGCGGTCGGGGCAGTGGGGACGAAGAGATTTGCAGAGAGGACACGACAACCTGACCCTCCTGTGGGCCATGGGTGAGTCAGAGGTTCCTTACCTGGCAAGTGCACTCGCAGCAGTCGCCGCCGTCGTAGCCTGGGGAACAAAGGCGGGGCAGGAGGAACGGAAAGGGGGGAGAAAAAGGTTCACAGGAGAACGGAAGTACTAAAACACACGGCGGAATGACACCAGAATAGAGTCCAACCTAGGACAAGCAACTAGGCATGCTCTCTAATATGCCGGCATGTGGACGGGCAGCCAGCCGCGTGGGTTTCCGCCCCAAGTGCATACCCCAATCGCAAGCTCACCACAGCCTTCGTTGTTGTTCTCCTCGTCACACCATCCATTGCCCACAGAACCCACGTACCTGGGTACGGGTTAGTGGAATCAAAGGGCGAGCGAGCGTGTTTTTGTCAAGGCAGGGAAGAGCCGGGGGTCCACGGCAGACCCGGCACGAAGACGTAAGGATAAGGCAGTGGCGGTGCACGCGAAACACCACCATGAGGCCACCCAAAACGCACGACGACGACGCTATTGGCGGTATCGACTACAGGGACCAATCGACAGGATGGCAAATCATCACGCGATTCTGGTACGTAACTGGCGGGGAAATAATGAGGAATGTCGCGAAATTTCAGGGCGACTCGCGGGTCATCGCACACCTCCGTTCGATTGGTCCGTACGTACGTGAGAAATCGTGAGACCCGCCGAACGGCCAACGGAAGCACGAGCTCTCGGCGAGACATTTCCAGGTCGGTTTAGTTATCCTATTGGTCGTAGCGTAAATTCCCCCTGGCTGTGGTGCCGTTTGTGCGCCTACACGTCACAGTATACGGGAAACGCTCGGAACCAAATATTGGGCTGCACCAGCAAGGACACGTGCAACAGATCCAAAAGGTTCGAAACACAATAGCGTCGACGCACCCGCAGTTCTCGACCATGTCGACAGTAACGTCGTCGTCGTCAACACACGGCGCCGAGGGGTCGATGCACGCGCTGTTTGCCGCGCAAGAGTAGTCGTCATCCCAAGCGTTCTGGAACACGCACGAGCAGCAACAGCAGAGCACAATGTAGTTCAGCATTGAAGGAGGCGGGCTGGAGGGGGGGGGGCAGGGAGATCAAGGCAACAAGAGGGAAGCCAAGCAGGACTATCGTGGGCCAGTAGTCTGCCGGTTCCATGAGCGTGCTGAGCAATAGGCAAGAAGGAACGTGCGTATCCAGAGCGGCAATCATGAGGGTTCATCTACAATACCTGGACTCCGAGGACAATGCGCCCAGAGCCGATGCTAACGTCAACACAACATATAGAGCAGCAACACAATCCGTGAATACGGTCGCTTTTCTCGTGACCCCGCGAAAATCCGTGCTATTCCTGTGCTTCACCTGACAAGGTGCGAAGACAGAAACGCACGAGATTTCGTGGGTCAAAACATTCTGCAGACGAGAATCGGGCAATTAGCGCAGGGAGAGATGGGGATAGCTACTGCTGTATCCGGAATCATGCACTGTGTCTAGAAGCCTCGCGTGCCTCCCGATTTGCTTACCACACACGTGCACTCGCAGCAATCGCCGCCGTCGTAGCCTGGGGCAAGGCGGCGCGGCAAGCATCACGAAACGAACAGGGCAACATTAGCTGTGCACATATCCGAAACGACTGGGTACTGAACAGGGTTGATGATTTCACGCTACAATCCGTGCCGTGTCTCGGCCCAGCACCTCTTAACGTGCATATTGGTCCAACTATAATGGACGCATGTTGTAGGCACAGGCGAAGGGAGTGCGGAAAGTCTTACAGGATCGCCGAACCGCAGTTGATGCCTATCGAGCGACTACGCGGTTTGAAACATGACGCGAATACTGAAGGCATGTAATTTGTTCTGCAGGCGTGCAAAGGTTAAAGAGAAAAGGGCAACGAGAGAGAGAGAGAGAGAGAGAGAGAGGCACAGACAGACACAGAGAAAGACAGACAGACAGACAGACACAGAGACAGACAGACAGACAGACAGACAGACAGACAGACAGACAGACAGACAGAGAATACAAACAGGCCAATACCACCCACCACATCAAGCGTCCGTAGATTCTTCTAACGCGATTGTGCATACAACGTAGACGTGCTTGCAAAATCTCGGCGTGAGAAACTGCTCGAAATAGTCCAGCCATACGTGGACGAAAAAATAACTTACCGCAGATCTCGTTGTTGTTCTCCTGATCACACCAGCCGTCCCCAAACTCTCGAGGAAAGCAATTAAGCGCTTGTTCGATGGTGATGTCATCGTCGTCCACACAGGGGGCAGTCGGGTCGACGCAAGCAAATCCGGAGTCGGTGCTTGAGCAAGAATAGTCGTCGTCGTACACGCTCTGGATTCAAAGAAGCGCGCGGAGAAACAGTGGATGCACGCATTCGTCAGAACCACGGGGTGCAAAAGACAAGATGGGGTGGGACTGAGAGATGGATATAAACGGGCTAGGTCCACAACGGCGGTGGGGGTACGGAGGAAGGGCGAGGGCAGCGGCATCTGCCAAAGAGGAGGAGGAGGAGAGGGAGAAAAACGGAGAGATATGCACGCCATTCACGAAGACTGCTCACCACGCATGTGCACTCGCAGCAGTCGCCTCCGTCGAAGCCTGAACAGAAACGAAAGACATTGAAGACACAGCAGGGCCGACAAGGTGAGACGAGTTGGGGTGAGACTCCTCAACGCCATCTGCTCACTGAGGCTCGACAACGCTGGTTTTGTTGTGCATGGACGCGGCTGATGATGGTCGTCCGGGAGTGATATACGGCCGTAACAGAGGAAGGTTATCCTGAAGATCTACCCTGGGCGTCGGTGACCAGGTTACACCTGACCTTGCGGCGGCCGGGGTGGGGTTGAGTTCGGTACGCGCATGTCAACCAAGCTCTTGCCAGTGGTGAACGAGGAGGGCGGTCTACGCTGCATATTGACCCAGAATTTCTCAGAACTAACGTCTCGAGGAACTCCTTCGGGGGCTTGTTTTTCGTCGACGACATCGAGCATCAACAAACCTCTCAAAATTCGCCGCATGCTCTCTGTAACCTTATCTCCCGCATCCCATCAAACAAGGGCAGGTTTATTCAAGGCGTAAACGAAGGCGTAGACGAAGGCGTAGACGAAGGCGTAGACGAAGGCGTAGTCAACAATCAACCCGAGTTTTCGTGAAACAATTCGAATTGCAACGCCGTTTATTTTGGGATACCCGGGAAAGTATTACGCAGTACGCCCCCCCGTCGGAACGAAAGAAACGTAGTCATACGCTAAAAACCAACTCCCTGGGCCCACATACCGCACTCCTCGATGTTGTTCCCATAGTCACAGTACCCGTCACCGATCCCCGTGACGTAGGGACAGTTCTCCACCATCGCGGCAGCGATGTCGTCGTCGTCGACACACGCGGCGTCGGGGTCGACGCAGGCGAAAACCTCACAGCCCCACGTGTGGTCGTCGTCGGAATGCATCTGGTGTGTTGCAGGTGCAGCGAGAGAGAGAGAGAGGCGGGAGCAAGTTTTCAGCCAGAATGCGGCGAGGAGGGAAAGGAAGATATATATATATAGAGAGAGAGAGAGGGAGAGAGAGAGAGATCCAAACATACGGTCATGCCAAATTGTGATCCCCCGCATGCGTGCGCGAAATTTAAAATCGTCCCACCGCGAGTTCATCGGCAAGTCGGAGGAAGGTAGGAATAGAGGGCGAAGGGAGACACCCAACTAACCGCACTATGCTCTCGAAACCCATATACGGCCCATAAAAAATCGTACCTGGCACGTGCATTCACAGCAGTCTCCGCCGTCGTAGCCTAGGGAAGCGGGGGCCGGGGGGTGACGACAACGGCGCGAAGGGGCAGCAGGAAATGAAATTATCGACCCCAGGTTCGGAACGACGTCAGCCCGAACCGCCACAATCCACACCCAAGGCAACGAGGGTAGGGGGTCGCAGCAGCTGGACGTAACCATGCAAATACCCACGGGACTGCCTTCGTGAGGATAAAATCATTAGTCCATCAGGGAGGTGACCCTATCCCTGACCCCCAACCCAACCCCTACCCCCAAGCTTGACATCCTCGCCAAGGCTAGCGCAGCCACGAGGGAGTAGCTTTGAGGGTTGCTGAAGAGGAGTGAGTCGATGATGTCTTGACGTCAATGCTTCCGTCTCCAGGCTCGATCAACCCCACAAAATACCCAAAACATAATGTACGGTGGCGGTCGTCACTTGGAGGGGTCGAAAATGTTAGCCCTAACCCTATTTCTAAGTTACTAATCCTAACGCCAAGGTAGCATTTTACCAGGGGGGTCGTAAGACGTGCTGTTTGGCCTGGGCGATCGGTGCTACACATACACACGCTATCAGCCCGCCTGCAGTGTGCCGAGGGCCTGGACACCCCCTTGTTCGCTTCACATCGCGAAGTCCGAAACAACAAAAAAATGTGTCGATGGGCGTGCTCGGGTCGCAGCGTGTCACAGCATGAAAAATTACCATCCGAGCCATTTGCCCATCAGACATTATCCGACAAGATTGATATCATAAGTTATCGTTCGGCTACTTCGGTTGTCTTTCGGCACTTCTTCTGAAAAGAGCCGGAGGTGCATGCAGACATACCGCATTCTGCGTTGTTGTTGTCCTGCTCGCAGTACCCGTTTCCGTAACCACCCTCATAGCAGCTGGAGGTGGAGGCGGCGACGAAGGCGGAGGAAAGGGCGGCCGCTGCACTGAGGATGCCCAGCAAGCGGCTGGATTGTTTTGCCTTCATGGCTAGATGCCGCTTCGCGGTTCTCGAGCAAGTGTGGCCTGCCGTGGAGGGGAAGCAGCGACACGGGGGCATGAAAATAAATGAAATTTTATTCGTTGCCTGCTGTTCAAAAATAGCGAATGAATGGAGATCGGCTCGTAATCCTTGCCTCTGCTGCTGTTGAAACAAAATAATCGACGCGGCGGGTGCTCAAGGGAGACCAGTGCGTTGCGGATTCCCGTCTTGGACTTTATCACCAACGGTAGAGGAGATTATGCAGCCGCGACAGGTGCACACGCTCAGATCTGAAAACCGAGGTTGATTCGGACGGAATAACGCTGGGTCTTGACATTTCTGTGTTTTCGTCCATGGACCGGCCATGACCCATCCATGGACCGTTCATGATCC